ATAGCGACCCCTCCTTGGGTTTCCGAGGCAGTATCACTACGGAAGTAGGATTGCCCAACCTTCCTTCCGAGGAGTGGCTGGTGGGTTTGAACTGGTAGCACTATGCTACCAGTTTTATTTCTAGAGAAGTAAAAATCTAGGGCAGGCATACTATGTATTGATCCTCTTTTACCACTTTGCTTTTTAAGAGGTAGTGGGTTGCTTGTCTTAATTTTATGGAAACAATGTTAAACTTGTTCCATTAGAAATGTATGAGAAAATGTTCTTGTAAATTTGTGCTGTTAAAGTAAGTACTGTGATTGCTTCAGGAGCTCTGGTGGCACAATGGTTAAGTGCTCAGCTGCTAACAAAAACTCATCATGGCAGAAAAGACCTAATGGTCTGCTCAGGTAAAGATTACAGCCTAGGAAACCTCCCGAGGCAATTGTACTTTGTTCTAAAGGGTTGCTGTGAGTCTGAACAACGGCACCTAACAATAATCATGATTGTTTTGCACTCACAGTTAATTTTTATGTGTTCTCTTTGAAGCCTCTAGGCACATGGACATAGCTGTTAGGGTTTGTTTGGGTAAAGAAATTTGGAAAAGTGAATTGAAGGAAAGAGGAGGAAGGAAGACTTCATATCCCTCCAAACAACAAGCAGCAAATCTTTAACAACTGAAAAAGTTATTGAAATCATACGTATTTTTTAAAAATTAGTGACTTTTGAAATCACTTAGCTAAATAGGAACTATAATGTGTTTGTTTCCTTTATTAAACACATTTATTGCCTGTCTGGTTCTACTGATGATTACATATTTTGCCTTTGCAGCACTCATTGACTTTATATAAAAGTATCTAAAGCAGTGAAAGTGTATCTCCTAACAGACATAAATATAACATGGGACATTCAGGATAAAAGTGTTTAGGAGAGGAGGAGAGTTATGAAAGAGGTTTTGTTGTGAAGGAGAGTTGTGCTCGTTTTATCAGATTCCTTGAATTACACTGCTTTGAATATTGGTGACATTTCTTGTTTTAAATGTACCTTTTTAGTTTGTTCCTTCTGAAGTTGTTAAATTCACTTTAGAAATTAAAAACTTCAACAGCTTCGTGCCTTTACTTGCATTCAGACATTTCAACAAGATTCAAGATTTTAATGACACTTTCTATCGACGTAAGTTGTTCATTTGAAATGAAGCTCCTACTGAATTATTACTAATTTTTAGTTAAAGGTTTCCACCCAAGGTTGTTAGCTATTTGAAGGCCTTTTCTTCAGTTGCTTTCATCTCTATTAATGTTGATTTTGCAGTAAGGTAATTCACTGATGGAGAATGCACTGTTTTAATTTTTAGAGTTAGTTACCTTTTCTGTGCATTCAAGGATTGAGAACTCTGTGTGTGTGTGTCTATACTATAATAAAAAGTGTATTTTTTTCCTGATCCTTAGAAACTATAAATTATTATATGCAACTGTATTTTTCCTTTGAACTACATTGTTTTTTTCTCATAGAATTTCACATTATTGTGTGTGGACTGGACTCCATCATTGCCAGAAGATGGATAAATGGCATGCTGGTAAAGATTTTCGTGTTGCTGTGGTTCTCTGAAGTTCTTGCTTTTGTTCTTGACACACACTGAGAGTTAGAATTATGTATCATATTTTTTAAAAGTCAGAATTCACTTAATTCTGAATTTATTTCTAGTCATTCATTTTGAGGTGAGGATATAAGTTGCTAAAATAGTAATCCTTTCATTTTGATGGCAAGATCTACTTGTAGAATTAACTGAGCTCATGCTCCTTTGAAATTTTTTCCTTCCCTTTTAAATCCTATATATCATTTTCATAGATATCACTTCTAAATTATGAAGATGGTGTTTTAGATCCAAGTTCCATTGTCCCTTTGATAGATGGAGGGACTGAAGGTTTTAAAGGAAATGCCAGAGTGATTCTGCCTGGAATGACTGCTTGTATAGAATGCACACTGGAACTTTACCCACCTCAGGTAATCGAAAATGGCCCTGTATTTGTTATATACCACCCTGGGACCAAGATAGAATTAGAATTGAATTGTTAAGTCTAATAAGTATTTAGGATTTTAATTAGTTATAACTATATTTTTAAAGTCATGGGAAGAAAAAAGATAAAATATGAAATACTGCCCTGTGTTTAATATAGTTCAGATATTATCCTGTTTGAATAATTAATTTATATTAATTTTTAATTTGAGGAATACAAGTCAAGGGGAATTGGAAAGGCATATTGTAATAGAGCTGTAACATACCTTCTTTGATTTCCTCCTGTATTTGTTTCAGGGAATTAAAGATACCAGGCATGAGAGTGATCTTTCCAAAGATGGGACTTTTTAATCTCTTTACCCACTTTAAAGGATACTTGGAATTTTGAGTTATAAATAATCTTTAGGAACATTTACTTGGAATTGATTTAACTCTGAATTTGTTTTAATACATTCAGATTCAGATTTAGGTAGACATAACAGTGTGCTAAAATTTAAGAATCTGTGCAGCCGTTTTCTTTTTTTTGGTCTAATAAAGCTTAAATTTATATCCCTTGTAAATTAATATAGATATGGAAGTGTAACTGATGGTATAAAATATTCTGTTTATATAAGTGGAAGGCTAAGTTGAATTAAAAGAAATTGTTACAAACTAGATAGTAAATAAAAAGTTGCATTTCAAAATAATTTATCATTTAAAATTGCTTAAGAAGACAAACTGTGGTTTTAGGTTAATTTTCCCATGTGCACCATTGCATCTATGCCCAGACTACCAGAACACTGTGTTGAGTACGTGAGAGTATTGCAGTGGCCTAAGGATCAACCTTTTGGAGGTAATAAACTTAATAATTTAGAGTTACATAAAATACGTATTTGTGAATATTATTCGTTTGGATAATTACGTTAAAAATAAAATATTTCATTATTATATATACATTTCTGTCTCCCTCTCCTTTTTTTTTTTAAAAAAAAAAAACAGAAGGGGTTCCATTAGATGGAGATGATCCTGATCATATTCAGTGGATTTTCCAAAAATCTCTAGAAAGAGCATCACAGTATAACATTAGGGGTGTTACATACAGACTTACTCAAGGTAAGCTAGTGAATTGTCATGAATTAAAATCTTCGGATTGTTGTTTTTTTATGAGTTGGGAACGCTTTGTGTGGAAAAATTGATAAGTGACTTTAGTTAGTAACAGACATTTGAGGTTCAGTAACAGTAGTGTGGAAAAATAGTTTGTAGGTGCCCCAAAGTAGGAGGGAACTGAGTTCAGCAGAGTCCATACTAGTTGCCAAACCAAACTCACTGCTGTTGAGTTGATTCCAACTCATAGCAACCCTTCAGGAGAGAGTAGAACTGCCCCATTGGATTTCCAAGGCTTTAAATCTTTATAGAAACAGACTGCCTCAGCTTTCTCCTGCCAGTTGGCTGATGGGTTCCAGCTGCCATCCTTTTAGTAGCAGTGGAATGCTTTAACCACTGTGCTACCAGACTTCCTCAAACTCTTACTAACTGGGGCTAATTCAGGGGAATTTAGTATTTCCCACCCATTATGGTAAGACATTGGACTTAGGCAGCTAAGAATGACAAATCTAGGGAACCAATTGTTACTCCCCTTAAAATAGAGAACAGCATAGTCCTTTTCACAGGTCCTGATCTGTTGGAGTCAGCAGTTAATTACCAAAAAATGAGCAGTTCAGAACTACCCAGCGAGCACACCTCTCATTCCAAGATTGGAGTCCAGGGAACACAAGGTTTTCGCTACAGAATTCCACTTTGTAGACAATTTGGCTAGGATATGGTGTTTACTTACGTTTTCTTGACTATGGAAAGGCATTCGACTGTGTGGGTCATAACAAATTATGGTAACATTGCAAAGAATGGGAATTCTAGAACATTTAATTATACTGATGAGGAAGCTGTGTATAGACTAAGAAGCAGTCATTCACATAGAGCAAGGGGATAAAACATAATATAAAGTCGGGAAAGGTGGGATTAGTGTTGTATCCTTTTATCATGTTTAAACAATCTGTATGCTGAGCAAATAATCCGAGAAGCTGAACTACATGAAGGGGAAATTGGCATCAGGATTGGAGGATGACTTATTAACAACCTTGCTTGCTGAAAGTGAAGAAGACTTGAAGCACTTACTGATGAAGATCAAAGACTGTAGCCTTCAGCATGGATTACACCCCAATATAAAGAAAACAGAAATCTTTACAGTCAACAAACAACATGGTAAATGGAGAAAAGATTGAAATTGTTAAGGATTTCATTTTACTTAGATCCATAATCAGTGCCTGTGGAAGCACCAGTCAAGAAATCAAATGATGTATGTGTAGCAAATCTGTTGCAAAAGACCCCTTTAAAGTGTTAAAAAGCAAAGATGTCACTTTGAAGACTAAGGTGTGCTTGACCCAAGCCATGGCATGGTAATTTTAATTGTCTCATGCATGTGAGAGCTGGACAGTGAGTAAGCAATATCATAAGAGAATTGATGCATTTGAATCATGGTGTTGGTGAAGAATATTGAATGTGCCAGGGATTGCTAGAAGAACAAACAAACCTGTCATAGAGGAAGTATAGCTGAAATACTCCCTAGAAGTGGTAATGGCCAGATGTCATCTCTTATACTTAGGTCATGTTGTCAGAAGGGACCAGTCTCTGGAGAATGATATCATGCTTGGTAAAATAGACAGCGAACAAGAAGACAACTCTTAACGAGATGGACTGACACAGTGATTGCGACATGGGCTCAAGCTTGGCAATGAGTGTGAGGGTGGTGCGGAATTGGGCAGTATTTTATTCTGTGGTACACTGGGTCACTAGGAGTTGAAACCATTATGAGACAGCACCTAACAACAACAACAAGGCAATCTATTTCACATTTAGAAAGACTGTTAGGTAATTATTTTACATATTGAGCAGAGCCGAGATCTCCATCTTTAATTTGGTCTTTGCATTATTCCAAGGTGTTACATAATATCTAATTCCCCTTTCAAGTAATAGCCCATAATGTATCGAGGACAGTAAACTTCCATTAGTTCCTTTAATCCTATGTCATGTTGCTTGTTGTTTTTTTGTAACCACTATTATGTGTAATTCTAGTTATTCCTGTTTCTCTTAGCTATATTACCTGGGCTAGAATGCAGCATTCTAGGGTTTACTTTGTTGTAGATAATAGTTTTATGATTGATGTGGTCTTAAAGAAGAGCAGGGATTTTTCTGTTTTGCACACTGATGATACGTTTTGTTCTTTGGATCAAAGAATGTGGGATTTTTCTTTACATAACAATTGCTTAGTCACATCTCCGCATTACAGATTTGACAGTTTTTTGTTTTTGTTTCGTGGGTTTTTTTTTTTTTTTAAATATATTGTGAGTCCTAACAAATTTATTCTTAAAATTCCAGATGCTGTTCTTTATTTTTTTAATTTTTATTTGTATGTTTTTATACATGTATGGCACATAACAACAACATCATCTATCTTTTATGCCTGACAATATATCTGTTCTTCTTTGATAATATCTTTTATCTCTTTTCTAAATAATTAAAATATTTAACAAAACTGAGAATAGGCATCTGAATCACACCTTTGTGGGCCCTTTTACGTTTATCATTCTGTTATTCAGGCCTTCTTGAATATTTTTTGTTTTGTTTTATTTTATTCACAAGATATGAAAGGCCTTTCCAGATGCTAGCTATACTGTCTTTCACATTACCCTGAGTTACCAAACTAGTGAGAATGACTAAATGAGGCTAGTCCAACACTGACTTGTCTCAGTGAACAGTTCAGTCATATTGATGATCACTGCTTCCTAGTCCAAGTACTCACAATTCCTACTTTCTAGAATTTTGTCCAAAGTCATCACCAAGTTCAACAGAAAGAGCTTTGTTTTCCTTTTCAAAACCTGCTGTTTTTCTGTGAATCTTTCCATATATTTATTGATATTTCAGTGATATCATTTGATAATTTCACTCATACACACTCCTTGTTTGCTCCCCATGCTACCCTACACTGACTTGTTTTGTGTTCCGAAGACACCAAGTTCATTCTCACCTCCTTAGAGTTTTAGCACTTGCTGATCCCTGTGCCTAGAATACTCTTTCCTCTGATCTCCTAAAGGCTGGTTCCTTATCCCTCAAATATCAGTTTAAACAGTTTTCCTGATCATCCAACTAAAAATGACTTCTCAGCCAGTGAGTAGTTTACACCCCTCACCCCATTCATAGTTCCTCTAGTGCTAATTGGTAGCCTCAGTTACACTCTAATGCATACCTGCCCTGGGGCTTTTACCTTGCTTTGTGCTCTGCAGAAAGGCTCTTTTCCTAGGTCATGGTTTAGGTTTCTGCTCAAATGTCACCTCAAGAAGGCCTTTCCTGACCATCCTATCTACGTACTGCTCCCACCATTATTACTCTAATACTTACCTTCTAAAAGTTTCCTGTGAACTTGAGTATTACCTCCTCAAACAGAATGACAGGGCCCACAGATGGAACAGGTAAGGAGGGTGAGGATCAGCCCCAGGTGGCAAGGAGCAGTGGGGAAGCCCAGAAAGTGAGCAGAACAATTGGAACATCTACGGGAAGTGAACATGTCTGTCGATTTGTCATACTGTGGTGGCTTGCTGTTGCTGTGAGGCTGGAGGCTGTGCCAGAAAGAATGCCCATGGTGGACTGGTTTTGTTGGAGCTTCCAGTCTGAGACAGACTCAAGAAGGAAGAGGCTGTCCATTTCTCAAAGAATTGGCCAGTGAAAACCTTATGAATAGTGGTGAAACACTGTCTATTACTGGAAAATTTTATGAATAGCCCTGAAACATTGTCTGATATAGTGCTCAAGATGAGTCCCTCAGGTTAGAAGTCACTCAAAATATGACTGGGAAAGAGCTACCTCATCAGAATAGAGCCTACCTTAATGATATGGATAAAGTAGAGCTTTTGGGACCTCCATTTGCTGAAGTAGCCTGACTAAATATAAGAAACAGCTGCAAACATCCACTGATGATTGGCACATGAAATGTATGAAGTATGAATTTAGGAAAATTGGAAGTTGTCAAAATTGAAATGGAATGCATAAAGATTGATATCCTAGGCATTAGTGAGCTGAAATGGACCGGTTTGGGCCATTTTGAATCAGATAACCATATGATCTACTGTGCTGGAAATGACAAATTGAAGAGGAATGGTGTGGTATTCATTGTCATAAACAATGTTTCAAGATCTATCCTGAAGTACAGTGCTGTCAGTGATAGAATAATATCCATACTCCTACAAGGAAAGCCAGTTAATACTACTATTACTCAAATTTATGCACCAACCACCAAAGCCAAAGATGAGGAAATTGAAGATTTTTATGAACTTCTGCAGTCTGAAATTGACCAAACATGCAATCAAAATGTGCTGATTATCACTGGTGACTGGAATGCAAAAGTTGGAAACAAAGAAGAATCACCAGTAGTTGGAAAATTTGGCCTTGGAGATAGAAATAATGCTGAAGATCGTATGATAGGATTTCACAAGACCAACGACTTAGTCACTGCAAATACCTTTTTACAACAACACAGATGGCAGCTATACACATGGAGTTCGCCAGATGGAGTACACAGGAATCAGATTGACAACCTCTGTGGCAAGAGGCGATGGAAAAGCTCAATATCTTCATCCAAAACAAGGAGCTGATTGTGGAACAGACCATCAACTGCTCATTTGCAATTTCAAGTTGAAGTTGAAGACAATTAAAACAAGTCAATGAGAGCCAAAATATGACCTTGATTATATCCCTCCTGAATTTAGAGACCATTGAAAAAAATAGATTTGAAGCATTGAAGTCTACTAACCGAAAACCAGAGGAATTGTGGGGTGACATCAAGAATATCATCCATGAAGAAAGTAAAAGGTCATTAAAAAGACAGGAAAGGAAAAAAAGCCCAAAATGGATGTCAGAAGAGACTCTGAAACTTGCCCTTGGACAGAGAGTAGCTAAAGCAAATGGAAGAAATGACAAGATAATAGAGCTGAACAGAAGATTTCAAGGAGCAGCTGGAGAAGACAGTCAATTATTATAATGAAATGTGCAAAGATGTGGAGCTGGAAGGCCAAAAGGGAAAAGCACACTCATCATTTCTCAAGCTGAAAGAAGTGAAGGGGAAATTTAAGCTTCAAATTGCAATATTGAAAGATTCTATGGGTGATATACTGAATGATACAGGAAATATCAAAAGAAGGTGGAAGGAATACACAGAGTCACTATACCAAAAAGAATTGGTTGATGTTCATCCATTTTAGGAGGTGGCATATGATCAAGAACCAATGGAAGCTGCACTGAGGGAAGTGGCAAAAAAACAAGGCTCCGGGAATTGACGGGATACCCATTGAGATGTTTCAGCAAATGGATGCTGCACTAGAGGCACTCAGTTGGCTTTGCCAGGAGATTTGGAAGACAGCTACCTGGCCAACTGACTGGAAAAGATCCATATCTGTACCCATTCCAAAGAAAGGTGATTTCACAGACTGTGGATATTATCAATATCATTAATATCACACACAAGTAAAATCTTACTGAAGATAATTAAAAAAACGGTTATAGCAGTATATTGACAGAGAACATCCAGAAATGCAAGCTGGATTCAGAAGAGGATGTAGAACGAGGGATATCATTGCTGATGTCAGATGGATCTTGGCTCAAAGCAAAGAATACCAGAAGGATGTTTAATTGTGTTTTATTGACTATGCAAAAGCATTTAATTGTGTGGATCATAACAAATTGTGGATAACACTGAGAAGAATTTCCAAAACACTTCATTGTATTCATGAGGAACCTGTACATAGAGCAGGAGGCTGTCATTTGAACAGAACAAGGGGATGCTGCATGGTTTAAAATCAAGAAGGGAGTGCATCAGGGTTGTGTCCTTTCACCATACTTACTGAATCTGTATGCTGAACAAATAATACGAGAAGCTGGAGTATATGAAGAACATGGCATCAGGGTTGAAGGAAGACTCATTAGCAGCCTTTGTCACACAGATGACACAACTTTCCTTGGTGAAAGTGAGGATGACTTGAAGCACTTACTGATGAAGATTGAAGACTACAGTCTGCAATATGGATTGCACCTCAATATAAAGCAACAAAAATCCTCACAATGGGGCCAGTAAGCAACATTATGATAAATGGGGAAAAGATTGAAGCTGTCAAAGATTTCATACTACTCTTTTCTACAATCAACACCAATGGAAGCAGTGGTCAGGATATCAGATGTCGTAAAGCATCGGGCACATCTGCTGCAAAGGACCTCTTTCAAGTGCTGAAGAGCAAAGATATTTCCTTAAAGACTAAGGTGCACTTGACACAAGCCATGGTATTTTCAGTCGCTTCATATGCATATGAGAGCTGGACAATAAAAAGAAAGACTAAATAAAGAGTCTATGCTTTGAGTTGTGGTGCTGGCGAAGAATGCTGAAAGTACCGTGGACTGCTAAAAGAACTAACAAATCTGTCTCGGAAGAAGTGCAGCCAAAATTCTCCTTGGAAGCAAGAATGGCCAAACTTCGTCTCACATACTTTGGTCATGTTGTAAGAAGGGACCATTCCCTGAAGAAGGATATCATGCTTGGCAAAGTGGAGGGACAATGAAAAAGGGGGAGGCCTTCAATGAGATGGATTGACACAGTGGCTGCAATGATGGTCTCAGATATAGCCAAGATCGTGGGGCTGGCACAGGACCAGGCAGTGTTTTGTTCTGCTGTACATGAGGTCACTATGAGTCGGAGATGACTGGACGGTACCTAACAACAACAACAAAGCAGGATGAAAGCTATCTAAGAGCAGATCATTTGTTCTTCACTACTATTCACAACACCTAGAGCAGTATTTGGCATATAGTAGACATTTGGTAAATTGACTTAAAAGATGAATTGAATTTGCCTGACTAGGAACTGTAAACTCTTCTCAATATGTAGTCTCATACATGTTCTTATAGCCTTCATTAGGGCTTGGTGTGTCCCTTTTCCAGCCTGATGATCAAAGACATTGAAAGAAGCCAAATTGGAAGTGAAGGAGCCCAACCAGAGGTCCTATCCATTTTATGATTATTTTTTTGGCTGTCAGTATAATAGTCCTTTGTCCATTCTAGCTTTCGGGGGAGGAGCAATCATCATCATATTGGCAGTGCTCTTACTGGGCAATGTCTCTACTACTCATTGCTTGTGACTACCTTTTCTTCCTCTTGGGAACTCTGGTGGCATAGTGGTTAAAGCATTTGATTGTTAACCACAAGGTTGGCGGTTTGAACCCACCAGTTGTTCCACGGGAAAAGGATGAAGCAATCTGCTTCCCTAAAGATTTACAACCTTGGAAGCCCAATAGGGACAGTTCTACTCTGTCCTGTAAGGTCGCTATGAGTCAGAATTGACTCTGGCTACGAGTATATGTACAGGTAGGTTAAAATATTTTTTTTGTTTAAATGACCATACTTAATATTTTTCAGGGGTTGTAAAACGAATCATTCCTGCAGTGGCATCCACAAATGCAGTTATTGCAGGTGAGGAAAAGGCCACCGCTTAATTTTATTTTTTTACTTTTGTTTTTAATTCTGTTTCTCACCACTAATTTGGCTTTTCTGCAGCTGCTTAATGTCAGAAAACTGGGATTCTAGGGATGACATCTTTTTGAGTGAGTGGTATAATTAAGTTGAACAAGCTATAAGACCTTTACATTTTTTGTTTTAAATTATACGGTACTTTTCAGTGGGGCCATTGTATTGCCATTTATTTTTAATCAGTATAGCAAACTCTTCATTAATCTGATGAAGAGGAATAAAAACATAGTATCACTATCACTTAGATTATACAAAACAAATATAAAATACATATTTTAATCAATAGCAGTGAGTGTGGATAAACATGTTCTGTTTAAAGATTTATCTGTTCTGCTTGATAATTATTTAAAACTGCTAAGTTCAACCACTTAATTTTCATTGAGTTAAAGTGCTTTTGTTTTCTTCTCTCTTCAGCTGTGTGTGCCACTGAGGTTTTTAAAATAGCAACAAGGTAATGGATTTCTATTTATATATATATATATATATATATATAAACCTACATTATGAACTGATTCAATTATGTAAAGATGAACATTTTTTCATTACAGTGCATACATTCCCCTTAATAATTACTTGGTATTCAATGATGTAGATGGGCTGTACACATATACATTTGAAGCAGAGAAAAAGGTTAGTAGTATTAATAAAAATTCTTTGTGTTTTAAATTTTTTATTTTTAAATGTTAATTACGAATTAGAAATTTGAACCAAAATTGCCCACACTCTTAAGTATTTTACTTTCTAATTTCCTGAACTATACTTTTACTACATATCTTTTGTAATACAGCCTAAAAATAAAATATCATATAGCACAATAATTTAGGGAAAATAGTCTGTTATGAAAACAGTTTTTAAAGATAAAAAACTGTTCATGGGAAACGTGTGATTATAAAGCAACTTGATTTCTGTCTCACTGTTTACAGAGAGATTAGTATTGATGCTTATACCATTATGGTTTGTTGCATTTCATACTTGTAGGAAAACTGCCCAGCTTGTAGCCAGCTTCCTCAAAATATTCAGTTTTCTCCATCAGCTAAACTTCAGGAGGTTTTGGATTATTTAACCAATAGTGCTTCTCTGTAAGTGTTCTGGGTTTTCATACTTGTAAAAATAATTTTTGTGATTTTAAAACTTTAAAAACTAGAATTGTCTTTTTTGAGAATGAATGATCTTTGATACTTTTTTTTCATGATTATATGTAGGCAAATGAAATCTCCAGCCATCACAGCCACATTAGAGGGAAAAAATAGAACACTTTACTTACAGGTGATCAGTGTTTTTTTTTTTAAGGAATTTATATGAAAAGCTTAATTTCACTTTAATGTACTTTGAAATAATTTTGTTTCCTAGTCAGTAACTTCTATTGAAGAACGAACAAGGCCAAATCTCTCCAAGACATTGAAAGGTATTTCAAATAAATGTATTTACCACTAGTTTTCTTCTTTTTGGGCGCTGGGGGTTGGTGAACGTAGTATGTGCTCATTCTGGAAGATTTGCTCTTAATAATGTTTTTAAATGATGATAGGATCATAATTGGTTATGTATTTAGACACAGTTATAATAGAATCAGTTGCTCTTTTAGTAGAATATTTTAAAATCTCTCCAAAATCAAATATATCACCTTGATTAAAGACAAATAGATTTTTATGTTTATTTAAACTATGGTTGTGTGTGTATGTGTGTTTTATCCTTTTCGTTGAGATATTTTTGATTAATTGTACTTTTCCCATTTTCAGAACTTGGACTCATTGATGGCCAAGAACTGGCAGTAGCTGATGTCACCACACCCCAGACTGTGCTATTTAAACTTCATTTTACTTCTTAAGGAAAAGAAATCTGTACATAATAGCAAACTCACAGTTTGTGGATGCTAAGAAATTTAATGTCACTTTTAGCATTAGTGTTGCTGAAATTTGACTTTTTTTCTTTTTTTTTAATACAATGAACCACTCTTTTTTAAACTTTATAACTTTCCCTAGAAGACAGAAGAATTTTGGAATTGGTGCCTGTAAACATTTTCATGAATAGTAAGAGAAATGATGCCTGGAGAGATGATGTACAAATTTATTGCTTCTGTTAGAGGCAAACACCCTCTTGTGCGTGACTTGTTTGTTGTAGTCAAATAACTAATTCCTCAGCTTTTTGGTTGAGTACCCATATATACAAAAGATGCCCATTTAAAGAAAATATGAAAATTAAGTTTTAAATAATGTTAAACATTACCACCTATTTGACATCTAGAGCATATTGAACATAGAGTATTTTTTGCTTCATTTAATTGTTGCTGTCTGAATGTAAATTATTACAAAGGGTTTCTTGTCTATAATACCTTGTAAACAGTGTAATAGCTGAATACTGTGCATGGAAATGGGGATATTTTCATGTATCTGCAGTGCCATAGAGGCCAATATGCACAATATTAAAGCCAAGATGTTTAAAAGAATGTAATGTTTAAACATTTATCACTGATGCTTTCACACTATTTATTAATAAAATCATATATTGTCTACTTTTTTCCCACTGAAATTTGTAAAATTTTATTTAGTAGTTCCATAGTAATATAGGAATAGTTTTTAAATGTGTAACAGAATTGTCAGCACATTTTTACTGCCCCTGAGTTAATACTGCTGTTACAGTGATTTCCACATTGAACATCTATTGATTTAGTTTAACTTGTGCTAACAGTAATGTTAATGAAATGGAATAATATATATATTTTTTATCATTGTCTCTTAAAATACTTTTTTTCCCCTAAAGGAGTAAGACTTAAAACAAAGTAAAGCATAAGTATTAAAAATTGGTTCTAGTATCTTAATGTGGGAACATGTAGTACCTGTTCTCATTTCATTGTACTTACATGAGTTTATTTATTTATTTTTAAAGAACTTTGTGATTACATGTCATTGGATTTTCATTTATTACTCTAGAGCACCTTGTGGACAAATAAATTGTACTAAAAAAAGTACACAGGAAATTAATACATTTTACTTAAAAAGTTATGGTTTTAGCTTAATTTTTTGAAAGTGAGGGAGTTGACCTTTAGCATCTCCTAAATACTGGTGGTATACAGCAATTCTCAAAGTAGCATTTAGGTCATTTTCCCAGAGCTGTACAATTAAGAGTCTTGGAACAGTGATTCCAACCCTTAATGTGCCCCCAATCTTTTCTTAGACTACTTAGCTGAGCTGTTTCAAAGTCCCTGAGCTATTTATTCAGCACTACTTGTGTCGATAGCATAGTGGCTAAGACACTTGCCTGCTAACCAGACGGCTGGCGGTTCAAACCCACCAGCCACTCCTCGGTAGGAAGGTTGGGCAATCCTACTTCCGTAGTGATACTGCCTGGGAAACCCAAGGAGGGGTCGCTATGAGTTGGGTTTGACTCCACGGCACATAACAACAACAACAACAACTTGTGTCGATTACTAAATTGTAAGTTTTAAGATTCAAATTTTTACTGAGGGTAGGTAAAATGATTGGAAGACAATCATAACTCTTAAAAGCAAGATTTTAATCTGATTTTTTTTTTTTTTTAAGGAAAACCAATTCGTTTATGGCATAGTGCCTTGTAGTGGGGTAAAATACTTAAAATGTCTATGGTCCATAGACAGGTGAAGCAAATAGCCACAGCAAGGGCGTGTGTAGTAAGACCATGTGATCTAAATTTTTAAAAAGAAGCTGGAAATCTGGATTTTTGCATGAAATCTGGCTTTTAAATACTAGTAGAGTTTTATATTTAACATTAACAGGGGCCAGACCAAACAGCTGCCAACAGAATAAGGCGACCAGAAATTTAAGATTGCTTCATGTGGCCGTTTGCCAAGATAATTCACAGAGAAAAAGTTACATTTTAAGTAATATGCACAATGTACAAAATAGGGCAAGTTTTAGTGCTTCTCACTTCTTTCAATAGGGCAGTGAGTGTCCCGGTATTGTGAGGTGGAGCTTGTGCCATATGTTCCACATGTTCCAGTGTTTGAGACAATGCCCAAGTGTGATCTTGAGTCTACCGTTACTCACTCGTGTGAGACGGATTTTTACTTCCGTCTGGTGACCTGAGTCAAGTCTTGCAAACTCAAACCGGGGTTTCTCCCTAAGGCCAAGTTAACACAGAGCTTACTAAATATTTGAGACAAAGAGCTCAGTAAGGGAACTGTGATAGCTAAACTTCCCTTTTTTTTTTTTCAATGAGTGCTGTCAGCTGGCTTTTCGTACGTGAAGGAGGGAGCCCACAGGAAAACAGTCTTACTCCTTTCAAGGAATCGACTTTGGTAGTAGCTAAAGTTTTGCCTTTGGGTGAATATGCATCCCATCCAGAATCTGTACTCAGCTGGCAGAGTGGTTACGCGTTTCTCTGTAACTAAGTGCAAGTCGGTTTACGGATGTGACGTCAACGTTCTTTACCCTTGTTCTTCCGTCTCTCGACGTAACCTCTGGGCTCCCGGATTCGGTTGTGTACGTGGAAGAAGTTAGCGCATGCGCAGGCCAGGCCCTCCTCCGCCTCAGCTGTGCGGGAAGAGCTGAGGGAGGGTAACATCCCTCCCTGGCTGGGGGATGACGGGCTGGGTATGGGCACCTGCTGACAGAGCCCTACCAGTGGAGAAGTAGGCGAGGCCGTTCTGCTGCACCTTTGCCCTGGCCTGAGCCTGGTCGGCCTGGGCCTTGGCCTTCTCACTCGGAGCTGCCGTCGTCACTGCCGGCTGAGGAGGGGAGATGAGTTGGTTTAACGCCTCCCAGCTTTCCACCTTCGCCAAACAGGCTCTGTCCCAGGCCCAGAAGTCCATCGACAGGGTACTGGACATCCAGGAAGAGGAGCCGAGCGCTTGGGCTGAGACCATTCCTTACGGAGAGCCGGGTAAATGAGGGAGGAGCGAGGTCCATGGGCTCCCGCAGGCTTCTGAGGCAAACAGGTTAAGTGATATAAAGAGGGACCTTCCTCACTGAGAGTTCTGAGGAAGTAATTTCTCCCCGGTCTGTTTCCTTCCTAAATGCTTCTTTAGTCTGTGGGTTGGTCTTTGCTTTTTTTCTTGAGGGAAAATCCAACCCCAGGTACCTTTGGCTGGCTTCGGATGATTGGCTGATTCGTTGTTAAGGCCTCTTTTCAACACAGCTGCAGGCGTGTTGTTGTTGGGAGGTGCTGTGGAGTCTGTCAGCTCTTCCTAGCGACCCCATCATCAACAGAGCGAAACACTGCCTTGTCCTGCGCCACCCTCACAGTCGTTGCTATGTTTGAGCCCATTTATACGCCCACTGTGTCATATCTTACCGTTGAGGGTCTTTTTCGCTGATCCTCTACCCAGCATGATGTTCTCCAATGACTGGTCCCTCCTGATAGAGAAATCTCTCCATCCACGCTTCTAAGCAGCATTGGGGCTGTTCTTCCAAGAAGTAGCCTTCTTGAAACCCAAGTTGTTTCCACTGACTGCGTGCTTCGGGCATTTTTTGGGTGTCCAGGTCGGAAATACGCTTATCAGCAGGGACAGGAGGAACATGAGCTAACATTTAGTGGGCACGTTGTGCTTGGCAGCACATAATGTGCTTTATGTCTTTTTAATCTTCAAAAAAAGACCTCGAGCTAGGTTCGTTATTTTAGGTGTTTTACAGAGGGTCAGAAAGGCTAAGTAATTTGCCCTAGGTCACACAGTACTAAGGGACTGAATATACTGGAGGTATTACCACGGAAACGATGGCCCAAGATTTTTGGTTTGCATCACATTTTATTTCTAAATTGCTGTGGTCTCTCTGTCAGATTTGGTGAGTGTAATCTTTTAAGGATTTTTGCTTTTGGCTGTAAGTCTAAGGAACAGTTTACCCTTCTGGTATGTGGGGTAGAGATTTACAGATTTTGGGAATGGATGAATCTTTGTGTGAATTCTTTCTGGATTCTGTTTTTAATTTTATATCTTGAAAAGTCAGCACCTAAACTTGAGGTGCACATTTTAAGATATTTTGGCCCTGTTGCTTTTTTAGAAAATGTTATATGACTTTACTAGAATAGCTCAACTGCTTAACTTCCTTTTTTTTTTATATAACTCACATTTTTAGTTATCAAAATTTCAGAAGAGATAGAATGTTTAAAAATAAAAATACTTGTTTTCAGAAAAGTGGAACTTAAATCATGTTGCATACTTTATTTTTAAAAACAGATTTTTGAGACTCAGGTGTTAGTGAAATGTTAAAATGTTTTAAGTTTTTGATTGCTGTCTTTCAAAGGTGATTGACCAGTGTGTGATAACTTTTTTTATTGTAGTTTGGGTAAAAGTTTACAGAGCAAAATTCATTTTCCTGACACATTTTGTTTCATGACATTGATTCCAATCCCCATAATGTAACAGCTCTTTTCCCACTTCCTCCCTTTCCTTCCCACTTTTTCCCTGTGTCCTTTCCTATGCATTTCTGCCCTCTGAGCTATCTCCCTGTGCACATACTGCCTTTCTGATCTCCCATGGTTGATCTAAGGAGTGCATCTACCTGGTATATATGTTCACCTTGTATGACTGGAAGACTGGGCAATCTACTTCTATTAAGATTTAACGCCTTGGAAACCCAGAGGGGGTTGCTATGAGTCGGAATTGACTTGATGGCAGTGAGGTTTGTTTTTGTTTTGTTTTGATTTTTATAGTTAGACTGGAAGCCACAGGAATGAGTTCAGTTCCCGACCCGAAGGGTGACTGGGAACCATAGTCTCTGGGTTTTTACCGGTCTCTGGTGACACAGTGCCTGAGGCATCTGACTGCTAACCAGAAGGTTGGTGGTTCAAACCCTAGCCACTCCGCAGAAGGAAGATGGGGCAGTGTACTTCCGTAAAGATTTACTGCTGTGGAAACCCAGTGGGGGTCACTATGAGTCGCAGTCAACTTGATGGCAGTGGGTTTGGTGTTATCAGACCAGTGAGCCTGATCTTTTTTATGATTTTGAGTTTTGTTCCACATTGTTCTCACATTCTCTCCAGGATCTCCTATTTCAGAGTATAATAGTTCTAATAAACAACAGATAATCCTGGAATTTATTTTATTCTCCAAGAAGCAAATTTGATTCCTGTCATTCATTAAGATGACTTAATAAATGTAATCACTAGACCTAATCCTGCTTATTCATTTGCATCTTTAATCTTGTTTTCTCCTTTTTTAAAAACTGGTTTTCATATTCTGCAGAAATGGACATAAGACTATGCCCCCAAAACTGAAATTTTCTGTGTACTTTTTATCCCAATCACCTTTGATGTCATATTAAAAGAAAGACTTTAAAAGGGTTTGATAGTTCTTTGGACCTTTTAGTTACTTAAACTATCTGCATAACTTCCAGTTGTGGAGGATTTGTGATAATGCTGCTCAGCTAATTTTAAATCTACAAAAGGAAGAGAGGATTTTAAAAAGAAATACTTTATACATTTTATCCAATACGTCTCTTTTTGTTGCTTGTTATTGGGCTCTTTGGTAGTATTTGTTTCCAAGACTGATAAAATAATTAACATTTTTCCCAGAAGATAGTTTTATCCTTTGTGGGCTTTTTTTTTTTTTAAATACTAGTCTAAACTATGGAGTCCTTGAGTGGCACCATTATTCTGTGCTTGGGTGCTAATCGAAAGGTTGGCAGTGCAGATCCACCCAGAGGCACTTTGGGATAAAGTCTTAGAAATCTGCTTCTGAAAGATCACAGCCATTGAAAATCCTGTGGAACACACATGAAGTCACCTACCATCTATATAAAAAAGCAATAATTCTTAAAAAATGTACATTTCTGAAATTCATAATGACATTCTCCTAATTGCTGACATGTTTTGAAATTTAGGAAGAGACCAAAACATTCTGTTAGAGGGAGTTTGGAGAACGGGACTTGGAACATGGGGTTGTCATTAAGTTGATGAAAATGAATTTGTTCTGTACAAGTTACTGTTCCTTATCAGTTTAATTTTATCTTTTAAACAGATTTGTCACTAGTATTTTGGGTTCAGTATTTGAGTGAGTATTGCCCTCCATCTAGCTTATAACTATGTTTCTCTCTCTCTCTCTCTCTCTCTTTTTAATGTAATTTTGGGGAAAGTTTACAGAGCAGTTCATCCTCCATGCAGCAGTTCACACACACACTGTCTTATGACATTGAGACACACACAGTGCAGCAGCTCTCCTCCCACCTATTCCACATAGCCACCTCTTCCCTGTGTCCTTCACTCCCATGTACTCCTGCCCCCTGAGCTGTCTCCCTGTACATACAAAGCCCTTCTATTCTCCCATGATTGATCTTTCCAAGGAGTGTATCTTCTTAATGTAAATGTTCAGCTCATATGCCTGTCTTTCATTTGACTGGAAGCTACAGGAGTCGGTTCAGTTCCAGACCTGAAGGGCAGCTAGGGCCCATAGTCTAAGGCTCTATCAGACCAGCCAACCTGGGTCCCCCTCCCCCCTCTTTTTTTTTTTTTTTTAATGATTTTGAGTTTTTTTCCACATTGTTTTCCAGCTCTATCCAGGATCTCCTATATAGATCCCCCTCCAGGTGTTTGACAGTGGTAGCTGTGCACCATCTATTTCTTCTGGTCTCATAGTCATATAGGCTGAGGATTGCATGGTATACTAGTCCCTTGGACTAATTGTTTCTGTGTGTCTTTGGTTTTCTTCATTCTTCTTTGCTTTGGACGAGGAGAGACCCATCATTACCTCGAGATGGCCACTTGCAAACTTTTAAGATCCCAGTCTACCAAAGTAGGATGTGGAACAATGTTTTTGTATGATAGCTTATAACTATGTTTTTTTGTTGATATGCAAGAATGTAATTACGTGAAATTGACTAGCAGGTAGAGTCATTTTGCAGTCATGTGTAAATGACGTACATGTTCTTGTGAGGTGAAGCATATGTATCTTGGCCTTACTGTGAGTTATATAACAAATACTATTGCTTTTTTAATTTAAATAGTTGTGGGATGGAATAATTTACTTGGTTCTGGTAGGCCAGTCCAGGTCAGGTCTTCTACCTGTGCTTTTAGTCCCTCTTGGTCAGATCCACACCAGTTTCCCTCTTTAAGACCCAAGTTAACCTGGGAAATAATTAATTATATAGTAAGCAAGGAGCTTTACAGATGCAAATTACAGGTTATATTCCATGGGTTTTCTTTATTTATATTTATATTGCATTATAATAAATAAAATTAAATCATAATATAATTATAATAATAATTATTATTTTTTTGTCAAAGGAATAAGTCTCCCTATTAGTGGAGGATGGGATACTTCAACTTGGGGCTTAAAATCAAACACTGAACCTCAGAGTCCGCCAATAGCCTCTCCTAAAGCAATTACAAAGCCAGTTCGGAGGACTGTGGTAGATGAATCTGAAAATTTCTTCAGTGCCTTTCTCTCTCCAATGGATGTCCAGACCATTCAGAAGAGTCCAGTAGTATCAAAACCTCCAGCTAAATCACAACGACCAGAAGAGGAAGTGAAAAACTCTTTACAGGAATCTTTGCACACTAGACAGTCAAGAACAACTGAAAATATTGAATCAAAAACAAAAGACTCTTCTCTGTGTGCATCAGAGGAATCTCTGGCAGTAGATACGCTGTCACCTAAAACTGAAGACAAACATGAAGAAATTGTTAACAAAGAATCTGAAATGAAAGTACCAACTGGACATTTGAAAGTATCTGAAAGTGTTATTACTGTGAAAACAACAACAGAAAGTGGATCTAATATTTCCACCCAGTCTCTCACAGCAGAAACAAAGGACATGGCTTTGGAACTTAAGGAACAAAAACATGAAGACAGGCAGAGTAATACACCTTCTCCTCCTGTTAGTACCTTCTCATCAGGTACTTCTACCACCAGTGATATTGAAGTTTTAGATCATGAAAGTGTAATAAGTGAGAGCTCAGCAAGTTCAAGACAAGAAACCACAGATTCAAAATCAGGTCTTCACTTGATGCAGACATCTTTTCAGCTTCTCTCTACATCTGGTTGTCCTGAATACAGTCGTTTAGATGATTTCCAAAAACTCACTGAGAGTTGCTGCTCATCTGATGCATTTGAGAGAATAGACTCATTTAGTGTACAGTCATTAGATAGCCGGAGTGTAAGTGAAATCAATTCAGATGATGAATTGTCAGGCAAGGGATATACTTTAGTACCTATTATAGTTAATTCTTCAACTCCAAAGACTAAAATAGCTGAATCTGTTGAAGGAAAATCTGAAGAAGGAGTAAATGAAACGGTTATACCCACTGAGGAAACAGAAATGGAAGAAAGTGGACGAAGTGCAACTCCTGTTAACTGTGAACAACCTGATATCTTGGTTTCTTCTACACTAATGAATGAAGGGCATGCTGTCTTAGACAAGGAGGCTGAGCAGAACAAAGCTGCTGAAAGTCAGCCAGAAGCACTTTCTGGGAAGGAAGATGTTTGCAAGGTAATTCTAGAAAGTAGAAGGGGATTTTAGTATATGCATTTCAGAGATAAAATAACTTGTTTTAGAAATATTTTCACTGATGCATAATGATTTTACTGATTAAAAAGATAGATACTGTGCCATTTCAGTGTGGCGTTAAGGACCTTAAAATTCAAGAACTAGTGATACTAAATTATTTGAAATGTCTCCGAGGGCACCATTGTAAAATTAAGTTTATATTTCACTATAACTGATCATAAAAAAGTTAACCATCTTCATTACAGGTGAGTCCTTATCACCTTAAAATTCTCTAATGCTAATGAGCTTGTCAGTTTACAAAGACTGTCTTATTTTAATTTACATCTTCAACTCTTTGCACTTAGAGGTGTTAAAACATATCTGAATGTGTAGTTTTTCTTAAATCTGAAAATTTTTTTGCATGTTCACAATTGTTGTTGTTGTTGTTATGTGCCATTGAGTCGGACCCGACTCATAGTGACCCCTCCTTGGGTTTCCGAGGCAGTATCACTATGGAAGTAGATTGCCCCATCTTCCTTCCGAGGAGTGGCTGTTGGGTTTGAACCACCAGCCTTTTGGTTAGCAGTCAAGAGCCTTAGGCACTATGCTACCAGAACTGTTCACAATGGTAGTAGTAAATCTTCAATGGAACTTTAGTCTTTAGATTTATTTTTGATGTTTTTCTGATGTTATTAATTGCTTCAGTTTGTTTTCTCTTTGTGCTATTTTTGATATCTCCTAATGGTAGTTATCGTACATGAATGAGAAAGAGAAATATCCAAGGAACAAAGGCATTGCTTACGAATGACAAATAGCTTCTACCATGTAACGTACAAAAGGAAAGTGGCATAAATTCTTTAACATTAAGTCACAGTTTTGATTTTTCCTATGATTTTTAGATGTAGAAATTGAGTTGGATCTGGCATCTTTAATAGACTCCTCTGAAATACAGGATGTCTTGAAGAAATGTCCTGTAAGTGCCATATATTGCATTATTTAATATTAAAAAAGTGCCAGGTTCTGTTACCTATTATTCACAAAGAAAATACCATGCATATTCCGTTTTAAAGTTCCAGTAGCAGTTTGTGTTCCTAGAAGCCAACACTAATTACTATATATAAGATATTTTTTTAACTATTTTCAGTATGCTTATGGAGGTAAGTGATTTCTAAAATAATCTCAGCTTTAACTCAGGTATGACTTTAGCGTTAGTCCCAAAGGCACCTTTCTTCCCATTATATACAAGTATGTTACAGCTTCAGCAGGAGCAAAGGAAATAACTATTCTAAGCATTCCTTTTTACTTAGCTTTATACTGATATACTCTGGAGATTATAAAATGCCTATGGATTTTCAAAAATTACTTTTATTTTCCAAATGAAATTATCATACAAAAAGTATATATTTTATATTTGAGTTAAAGGGTAATATATAAAAACAGACACTTACATACCTCCTGCCCAGCTAAGATACATGTAGAATGTTGTCAGACACTTTAAAGCCCTGTCATTGAAATTTCTTGATTGCATCTCTCTCCCTACCTTTTTTGGTGAACATTCAGATTATTCCCAGATTTTTGCTGTTATAAACAAGCTGCTATAAATATTCTTAAGCATGTCACCTAGTGTGCGTATGTAAGAATTTTCTCCTCTGAAGTGTACTCAAAATGGAATTTTCTTCATGAAATGTTATATGGATTTTCCATTAGGTATTGCCTAATTGTTTACAAAAGTAGTTGTACAAATTTATACTTCATGTGCTATAGCATTATACTGATTTATACTCCTGCTGGCTAGGTATGTGCATTTGTTTCGGATTCTCTGTGTTCCTAATATATTTTTAATTCCTTTTATGAGTTAATGCTGTTTTATTTATTATAGTGATTGGATTGCCCTTACAAGTCATCACCTGTATGTAAAAATGATCTTTTAAAGTTAAATGTTTTGACTTTTATGTATTCTTCTTCAGACAGTTGATTTTCTGAATGAGAAATTGGAAAAAAGGGAGGCTCAGTTATTATCTCTTAGTAAAGAAAAAGCACTTCTGGAAGAAGCCTATGATAATCTGAAAGAGTAAGTGTTTTACAAATGTGGGTAATTTTACACATTTTATAGAGGTCTGTACACTTTTTTTTATTAAGGAATATTTTTTAAATCAAGATGTCTTATAACTTGTTTATAATTACTGAAAATTGAATAGCATTTCAATTCTAACCTTAAGTAGAGATTATTTTTCTCCTTAAATTTATTATATTTGGCATTGAAGACAGGTGTTTTGAAAAAAAAAAAAAA